ATTCCCATCCCCACATTCCCATTCCCATTCCCATTCCCATCCCCCATTCCCATTCCCATTCCCATTCCCACCCGGAATCTCCTCCCGTCTCTCCCTGGAGCTGTTCCGCTGCTCCGGGGCCGCTCCCGGTGGCCGCCTGCACCGCCCGCTCCAGCAGCTCCAGCCACCTGTGATTCCCAACGGGAATTCCCAACGGGAACCATCCCAAATTCCCAAATTCCCAACGGGAACCATCCCACATTCCCAAATTCCCAACGGGAACCATCCCACATTCCCAAATTCCCAACGGGAACAATCCCAAATTCCCAACAGGAATAATTCCAAATGGGAACAATTCCCAAATTCCCAAATTCCCAACGGGAACAATTCCCAGCGGGAATTCCAGCCTGGAAATTCCAGCCCGGAACGCCAGCCCAGGAATTCCAGATGGGAATTCCAGCCCTTCCCAGGGAATTTTCCGGCTCATTCCCGGGGATTTTCCAGATCATTCCCAGGAATTTTCCAGCTCATTCCCGGGAATTTTCCGGCTCATTCCCGGGGTTTTTCCGGCTCATTCCCGGGGTTTTTTCCCGGGATTTTGGCTCACGTGTTCCTCTCCGAGGACGTCAGCGCCACCAGTTCGTAGATTTGTGGTCCCAGCTCCGAGGTGCAGATGATGAACAGGGCTCGCTTGTCTGGGGGGAAATTCCCACAATTCCCAAAATTCCCGGATTTCCCGAGCTCAGCCCCAGCCCCATTCCCAAACCCATCCTGGTTTGCAACAAAAATCCCCATTTTTTCCCCCCAAAAATCAAATTTTTACCCCAAAAATCCCAATTTTCCCCCCCAAAATCCCAATTTTTTCCCCCAAAAATCAAATTTTTACCCCAAAAATCCCAATTTTTGCCCCAAAAATCCCAATTTTTCTACAGGAAATTCCCACAATTCCCAAAATTCCCGGATTTCCCGAGCTCAGCCCCAGCCCCATTCCCAAACCCATCCTGGTTTGCCACAAAAATCCC